CTGTGCTTCAAGCATTTGATCTGTAAGCATAAAGGTAAGAGTTTGTCTCTGATTGAGATATCTACACATTTGTACTTATATATGATATTCCAATCATGAGGCTTATGTTTGTATTCCAACACATTTTTAGATGTCGTCTGCCAATTACTTTGACATAACAGACGAGCTGATGAAGCTTCAAGAAATGATTTCTACTCAAGATATTCCATCAGCGACAAACACAATCAAAGAATACCTCAAACAGCAAGATCTTGTGGAACTTAACATTGGTGTAACAGGAGAGTCAGGTTCTGGAAAGTCCACGTTTGTCAATGCATTCAGGGGTTTAGGAGATGAAGATGAAGGCTCTGCTAAGGCGGGTGTAGTGGAAACTACTACAGAACCAGAGGTTTACCTTCACCCTAAATACAAAAATGTGAAAGTGTGGGATCTTCCTGGCATTGGAACACCAAACTTCCAAGCCGACGAGTATCTTAAACTGGTTCAGTTTGAACGCTATGATTTTTTCATCATCATTGCTTCGGATCGGTTCAGAGAATGCCACACTCAGCTGGCTAAAGAGATCATGAGAATGGGGAAAAGGTTTTATTTTATTCGTTCCAAAATGGACTTAAGCATTAAGGCTGAAAAGAGAAAGAAAAACTTTGACCATAGAAAGACAGTGGATACCATACGGAAGGACTGTGAAAACGGTTAGTTTATTTAGTTAATGATATGGCAATGTTTCGCAAACAGAGCTATAACATTTTTTCAGGTTGTCATTAACATTATGCTTTCTTGTGGATATATCTTTAATAAAACTGATATTAACATGCATGATCATAATTAATGATAAATATTGTTTAATGAATAATACAATAATCCTTTGATTATGATTACATCACTCATAAAACCTTTATTTTATTCATTTTTACAGGTCTGAGAAAGATCGGTATAGAAGATGCTGTCGTGTTCCTGATCTCTGGTTGGGAGTTCGGCAAGTATGATTTAAGTCAACTGCAGGAGGGGATGGAGAAAGAGCTTCCACAGCATAAGAGACGTGTGCTGATGTTGGCTGTGCCAAATATCACACACGATATTAATGAGAAAAAGAAGAAAGCTCTAGAGGAAAATATTGCATGTGCAGCCTTTCTGTCTGCTTGTATGGCTGCAATTCCTGTACCTGGTCTTTCCAGATTTAGCCATCATAGCAATTGAGATAGAGAAGTACTGCAACGTCTTTGGTCTTGATAAGCAATCTTTGGAGAAGCTTTGTGAAAGGTCTGGAAAGAGTATAGAGACTATAGAGAGTCTGATGAAGTCAGTTTGGCATAAAGGAATATGTACAGGTTCAATCTTATCCATACTAAGAGATGCATCCTTTCTGGTAACAGAAGATGCTGTTGAGTCAGTTGTTAGGTTTGTGCCCCTTTTAGGCTCTGTAGCGGCAGGAGCAATGTCCTATTGGGCAGTATCAACAATGCTGAAGAGAGCTCTGAATGACATAGCAGAAGATGCCAGGAATGTGCTAATGGCTTTACTGGAGACTGAAGTGTAATTAGACAGATTTAACATAACCGCATATTTAACCAGTGGTTGCAAAGCATGTAATATTCTGCATACTTACAAGTTCATTCTTTCGGAAAGTACATAGTTTGCTCATCTTTGTTTCCTGTTTCCTTTGTTCTATGTTTGTGTTTGCTCCTTAGCTGTCATAGCAATTCATCATTTGATTTTATTGTAGAATGTCTATCCTGTAAATTAGTGAAAACTATATATTGTGGATACTACATAATCATATGAGGGAAACACACATTAAATTGTGATGTTCATATATTTCTTCTTAGTTTTTTGTTTTATTGTTTCCAGCCCAGTGGGCAATTTATGTTGAAAAGACATCAAATTGATGTCAAAATCAACATCAAAAACCAGGTCAAATATGAAATTCAAATTGACGTATTGACATATTGACCTGCATACATAAACCAATTTCAGTGTGGGTATTAACTTTCTCTTTTCACACTAATTACCACTGGAAGACATTGCCTTTCAAACTGACCTTAAAAGGATATGCAGTATCTTGATCAAGTCTTGACTAACTTTTGATGTCAAATTGATTTCAAGGTGATCGCTGGGCTAGAATACCCCTTTATATATATTGCAGTAATATTGCATAACTGAAAAGAACATTGTTTGACTGTACAGTTCCAAACAGGTTTGATACCAGATCTCTCTGCAAGTTTAAACTGGATTCAGCAAGTTAAAACTGTGTTTTTAGATTTGCATCCAAGCAACCATAAAGCTAAATTTAGTTATCTGTATAGGTGGAAGGCAAGTAATGAAATAGTTGTTTTGGTCATAAGCCTATATAAAAGAGAGAAACTTGCAAATGTTTAATTTGCATGGTGATACGGTGCACACACTGTTTTATAAACAAATATTATAAATTATATAATTAGTAATTAGTGCATTCAAAAGTGTTCCCTATATTTTGATGTCCTCTTTGTTAAAGTGCACAGAAGAACTGGTGAGCCCTCGCTGGGACGGATGGGAGTTAATGGATCGGTGTCTCTCAGCATTCACAAGAACATAAGAGTCAAAAACACAGATACTACTACATGGGTCTAGTCTGGATTTGTGACGGGGTCGATGCAGACTTTACTGGCCTCAAAGTTTGATCAACAGTAGTTTGCTCCATCACCAGTTATAAAAGACCTCCAGTGTTAATCTGCACTGCCCCTCCTGCATCTACACTGTAAAGAGATTGCTGTAAATTTTACAGTAACTGTATTACCTCTATATTCTTCCAGCCTCTTTCAGCTTTCCCACCAAATCCTCGACCGTCTCCACTTTCACTCCAGCTAGTTCATCCAGGTTCATCCACCTTGAGCACCTCCAACCGTGAGCTCACATCCACACCTAGGTCTGCAGGCTTCACATTTGCAATCCCTACCTTCAGAAGCTCTGTGAAAGATTTGAGAAAACCGTAGCAGAAATTAAGAGTTTGATGAAGTCATCTCTTCATCAAGGGATAAATCAAAGTTCAGTTAAATTGTTGGGTGCTGAATCAGTGTTCATAAAACAAATGACACTTGAGTGTGTTATTATGCAAATAATATAGGCTCTGTGGTTGGAGCACCACTGTCTTTTTTGACTGTCCAAAGAGTAGCCTACTGAAACAATCTCTGAAGAAATAGCAGAAGATGCCAGGAAAGTGCTGATGACTTCACTGGAGGCAGAAGCCTAATTATATACAAAATTGACAAATAGACATGTATATAATTCTGAAAATGTATTAAACATGTATTAAACACATAAAAGATCTCAAGTCTGGTTGGAAGGAAACTTTACTTGTTGTTTTGATCTATGTTTGGATGTTTCCTTAATCTGGAGATTTTGGTGAATTGTTTGTTTGAGAACACTTACGTAATAGAATGTCTCTTTACTTGCATGCTAATTTATTTAGTTTGAGTATAAGCCTTTCTTGACCCATGTTAATTGCTCCTTTTTATAGGCCTATAATTTTATTTTGTAATGGTGTTCACACAAATGTATCTACTGTATGCACAAACAGTTAAAATGCAAATACCTTTTATACCTTTATATTTCTTTATACAGATTTTCCCTTTATTTTTCCCCTTTTACTTTATTACGATTTAAGTATTAGCCTAATATTAGTATAATTCTTTATGATTATATATATAAAAAAATTTTTGCTGCTATGTTTTTTTAACAATGTTGTGTGCAAACAGCATGGCAACAAACAGTAGGACATGTAAGAGGATGTGCAAAAGTGCATTACAGAAAAGAAGAAAAAATAAAATAATTAATTAATTAATTAATTAGGCTAATTCAAATAAAAAAGAAGGGGGGGTGGTGGCTAGGGTTTACTTTCAAGTCATATTCTTCTATTGTAGCAAAAAGGGTTTTTTTTTGTCATTTTTACTTTTTGTCATTTTAAGGGCATTTGTATATGAAAGAAACTCATTGTGATACACAGAACTTAGGTTTCACTTTCAGATATTTAGATTTGTGTATATAATATTTTACCAGAATAAGAATGTTATTAACCAAAAAATCGTCTTTGTTGTTGCTGTCTATTACAATTTTTTGCTGCCATCTATGGTCAAGTAATTCTTTTGAAACAAAGTTCCACCCGAAGCAATAGGCGGCGCTGTGGGATTCAGTGTGTATCCGTACACACAGTGGACACGTCATGCTAGCGGAAGACTAAAATCATCTGCGCGTGCGTTGAACTGTCTTCGTAATTTTTGAGGCTCAAACCAGCGGACGAAGGTAAAGTGGCTGCTAAATGTTATATTTAAAAAAATATATATATATGCTGAGAAGACTTGTGAAAACGCTTTGGTCTGTGATTGTATTTGTATATAAGTAAACAGTAACGTTAGACGTTGTCTGTATAATACGCAAGGCGAATGCGAAGTACACGTAATCACAGTTTGTCACCTTGTTTAAATGAATAAATAAGATTTTCATCATTTCACTAATTTAATTTGTTTGTTTAACAGTTTTATTATAGTGCATTAGATACAATTAGCCGCGTTCAATACTATAATAACGCTGAAATCCAGTAGTTCGTAGGGGTTGTGAGTGTGACTGGTGTTGTACACGTAAGCATACAAAATGAACTGTCTTTATTTTAAAAATATTAAATGTCAATTTAATTTTTCATTATTATTTAAGAACAGGTCTCTGTATTATGCAACCGATATTTGACAACATGTGCCTTTTATTTGGAAATTTCATTCATCGTTCCTTGCATGCTGATGCTGCCTCTCATAGACTGCACTATATTATAGCTCAACCAACTGTAAGACTGAATATAAATCGATGTTTTATCAATTGACTTCATTCTTCTAAATTGTCCTGTTTCTCTATTCACCACTTCACAAAGATGTAGTATTTTCCATTAGTGAATGCATTTTTGTTGTCTTTTAAAGCAACAACTTTAAATGTTGATTATCCCTGTATTTGGTTAGCAGTTGGTCTGTTTTGTATATGAAATATTCCATTTCCCCCCACAGATGAGGCTGCTGTGTATATTTGCTCTGGTTGCTGCGGTGAGTCTGGTGGCAGGGGAAGAAGGGGCTCGTCTTTTGGCCTCCAAGTCCCTGTTGAACCGATACGCTGTAGAAGGACGAGACCTTACCCTACAGTACAGCATCTACAATGTGGGCACCAGGTATTGTCCTGTTTCTCTCCGAATTTTCAACAGATTGTGATGGCTAATTGAATGATTTATAATTTAGTCTGTTATTCTATTGAATTTGTTGTTCTTTTGCCTAGTGCTGCCCTGGAGGTTGAGTTGTCAGATGACTCTTTCCCCCCTGAAGATTTTGGCATTGTCTCAGGAATGCTGAATGTGAAATGGGACCGAATTGCTCCGTATCCTCCTCCTAAAATTAACTTTTAAACGTTTCATAACTATATACAGTGGGGGGGAAATAATTATTTGATCCCCTCTTACAAAGAAATGGTCTATCATTTTTATGGTAGCTTTATTTTAACGGTATAGACAGAATATCAACCAGAAAAACACATTATATAAAGATTGCAAATTGATTAGCATTTGATCCCCTACCAACCAGCTAGAATTCTGCCTCCCACAGATTTATGTGCCCATTTGGAAAACCGATTAGTCCTGTCACTTTAAGAAAGTACTCCTAATGTCAGCTCGTAATGTGTATAAAAGAAACCTTTCCACAGAATCTCTATCTTCCATTCCATCCTCTCCACCACCATAGGCAAGACCAAAGAGCTGTCAAAGCACATCAGGGACAAGATTGGAGACCTGCACAAGGCTGGAATGGGCTACAAGATCATTAGCAAGAAGCGTGGTGAGGAGGAGACTTTTGTTGGTGCCATTATTCGGAAATGGAAGAAATGCAAAATAACCCATCAATCGCCCTCGGTCTGGAGCTCCATGCAAGATCTGGACTCATGGGGTAAGGATGATCATGAGAAAGGTGAGGGATCAGCCCAGAACTACATGGGAGGAGCTTGTTAATGATCTCAAAGCAGTTGGGATCACAGTCACCAAGCAAACAATTGGTAATGCACTACGCCGCAATGGATTGAATTCCTGCTGCACCCGCAAGGTCCCCCTGCTCAAGAATGTACAGTTACATGTACAGGCTCGTCTGAAGTTTGCCAATAAACATCTAATAATTCAGAGAACGCTTGGGAGGAAGTGTGGTGGTCCGATGAGACTAAAATAGAGCTCTTTGGCATCATCTCAACTCACCATTTTTGGAGGAAGAGAAATGCTGAATATGACCCCAAGAACACCATCCCTGCGGTCAAGCACGGAGGCGGAAACATGCTCTGGGGCTGCTTCTCTGCTAAGGGTACAGGACAACTTCACTGCATTGAGGGGCTGATGGACTGGGCCATGTACCGTCAAATCTTGAACCTCCCTCCTTCTGCCAGAACACTGAAGATCGGTCGTGGATGGGACTTCCAGCATGACAATGACCCAAAACATACCGGCAAGGCAACAAAGGAGTGCCTCAAGAAGAAGCACATTAAGGTCTTGGAGTGGCTTAGCCAGTCTCCAGACCTTAAAGGGATAGTTCACCCAAAAATGAAAATTCTGTCAGTATTTACTCACCCTCATGTTGTTCCAACCTCGTAAGACCTTTGTTCATCTTTGGAACACAAATTAAGATATTTTTGATTAAATCTGAGAGCTGGATCACTCCTCCATAGGCTTCTTAAGGCATTGAAGCTTGCCAGCCCCTAAAAGTTATTAAAGATATCGTTAAAATAGTCCAAGTGACTACAGTGACTCAATCTTAAGTTTATCAAACGACGAGAATACTTTTTGTGCGCAAAAAATACATAACTTTATTTTAACTATTCGTTTCCTTCTCTGTAGGCCTCGAGTCAGTTCACTAGTGATATAGCGCAGTTCTTCTGTTGTTGTACGTCACACGCATCACCCACATGAACAGCGTCGGCCAATAGTGAGCCTACGTGTGACGTAGCTCTACGCTATCACACTAAGTTAACTGACTAGAGGCCCACAGAGAAGGAAATGAATAGTTAAAATAAAGTTGTTATTTTTGTTTTTTCTGCGCACAAAAAGTATTCTCGTCGCTTGATAAACTTAAGATTGAGCCACTGTAGTCACTTGGACTATTTTAACTATATCTTTAATAACTTTTCGGGGCTGGCAAGTTTCAATCCCTTAAGAAGCCTATGGACTAGTATGGAGGAGTAATCCAGCTCTCAGATTTCATCAAAAATATCTTAATTCGTGTTCCGAAGATGAACAGGTCTTACGAGGTTGGAACAACATGAGGGTGAGTAAATACTGACAAAATTTTCATTTTGGGTGAACTAACCCTTTAATCCTATAGAAAATCTGTGGAGGGAGCAGAGACTTCGAATTGCAGAGCGACAGCCAAGAAACTTTAATGATTTAGAGAGGATCTGTAAACAGGAATGACCCAAAATCCCTCCTGAGATGTGTAAAAACCTGATGAGCAATTACAAGAAACATCTTGCCAACAAGGGTTCACCAAGTACTAAATTTTGTTTTGCTTGGGGATCAAATACTTATTTCACTCACAGAAATGCAAATCAATTTATATCCTATATAATGTGTTTTTTCTGTATTTTTTGGTTGATATTCTGTCTCTATCTGTTAAAAGAACCCTACAATAAAAATTATAGACCCTTCATTTCTTTGTAAGCTGGCAAACTTCCAAAATCAGCAGGGGATTAAATAATGATTTCCCTCACTGTATATAATATATACTACACACACATTCTGTATACATCTGTAAAATTTTAATATGATGTTTATATAATCCTAGTATAAAGATGACACTTTTTTTTTTACCCCGTTTAGGTACGTTCTAAGTACTTTACACTCTGTTAGTAATCCATTAAACCTTTAAACAATCACTTCTGTCTTTACTGATAGCACTTAACATCATCAGAACTGTCACAGACTGTCAGTATGCTTTATTTACTTTTGCTCTTTCGTAGATTGTTCCCTAACTCTTTATCTCTATAGTGCCAGTAATGTTTCTCACACAGTGGTTCTGCGGCCACTGAAAGCTGGATACTTCAATTTCACCTCTGCTTCAGTTAGTTACCTGGCGCAAGAAGGTGGACAGGTTGTGGTAAGTGGAGTCCTCAGATACCTTTCATGTATACAGCTAGCATAAGGAAGTTTTTTTATTTTTTTCACTGCCTCAATTAGCCATAATATAAAAATGGCCTTGATTGTGTCTTAATACACAATCTTCTTATTCAGTCAGATTCTTATTCAAGACAGTGAGGTTTTTTTTTTTTTTACACTATTGAATATTTTTCTGCCTTAAAGCTGCAGTCGGCAAGTCTGGCAGATTGAGTGGATTTAGGAAAATGTTGAATGTTTACAACTCTCATGCCCCTCCCCCACTATCAACGGATACCCTCCCACCCAGTTCATGCTCGTCAGTGCGTGTGCACCAGATTTTCAGTGAACGCCAGGGCTCTCAAGTGCCAGGGCTCTCCCGCCACACATTGTATTTCTCACGCTGAAAAACTATTTGTAATATATTTAATATGCCTCAGCGGCCAAAACTCTGGCCGCGCCGCTCTCACTGTGGAACCGGCATGAATCAAGCGCGTTTCCTCTGGTGTTGTTCGTCGAGCTACACAATAGCCAATCAGAAAATAGCACTATTGTATCTGGGTAAGATTTAACGCAACAACCAATGACAAAAATGTATCCAACCCCCCCCCGTTGGCTGGGTGTCACTCTTACCTGTCTTCAAAACTTGAGAGCCCTGGAACGCGCCCGTCTCATCAGCATCCATCAACACCATGGAGTATTTGGAGGTATGCTGTCCTGGCTAATGTACCGATAGATTGCAATTGCTAACGTCATTTATACTCTAAATGAGCTTACTTGATTTTCCACCATCACTCTTCGTTACTGCACGAACTTCAGGCGTGTGCATGTGATTGTAACGTGCGCGAGGGGTCGTGTGTGCCCGATCTGTGATTGACGGTCAGATCTCACACCCCCCTGCGCTGATTGGACATGATGAACCGGGAGCTGTGGATTTTTGCAAAACAAATAACACGCTCCAGGCAGGTGGAGTTAGAAGCTCGGGTTTTTTCTAAAACCACTTTATTTATGTTGTTCTGTCAGATTATAGTGTCGATTTCACTGAATATGATCAAAAAAATGTTGCCGACGGCAGCTTTAATAATCTGACCATTGATTTTATTCTGATTACAATAAATTAGGTCCACCAGACCGTTACATTAAATGTTAATAAATGGAGAGAGAGAGAATGAGAGAATTGCAGTATTAAAATGTATTAAAATTGTATTTTAGTTACTGGTTGTTAGCTAAGTCTTATTCTTCACCTCTCTCAGGTTGGTTACACAAGTGCTCCGGGCCAGGGAGGCATTCTCGCCCAGAGAGAGTTTGACAGACGCTTTTCTCCACATTACGTAAGTTACTCATCAACACTTTAATATGAAAAATGGAGTAAAGTGGCTGTCAATGTGTCCTGTCCTGTAATGATATTTTTTTTCTTTTTTCTTCTATCTAATAGTTGGACTGGGCAGCTTTTGGTGTCATGACCCTTCCCTCCATTGGCATTCCTCTGCTCCTGTGGTACTCCAGCAAGAGGAAGTACGACTCACCGAAGAGCAAAAAGAACTGAGATATCAATTACAGGACAAAAACAGATCAGGGATCATTGCTTGAGTGTGGAGGGAGGGGGGTGTTGAGAGAATTATGGTGGGCTTAAAATGTTGTTTTTGAATACATTTAATTACCCATATTGGGGTAAATGGTCAATGATTTAATCTGTTTTTAAGTAATGTTCTCCATCGGATAGTTTGTTAAAGAGATCTGGGGACGGAAGCATAAAGTAGGATCATTGACATTTGCTTTTGATGTTAAAATGGCCATTCCATGGCGGCCTCAGGTGCACCATCTTATTTTGTTTTGTTTTATTTGTAATGATTCTCAAATGATCAACGGAACTGTACAGCCCTTCATGATCGGTGTAGGGCTAGTTTGGGGAAATAAAAGGTTTTACAGAGATGCTGTTGTGTGTCTGGTCACTTGCTGAAAAATGCTTTCATCTGTGTTCTGTGATGTTTTTCTCATGCAGTGATTCGTGCATTCTTGGTCTTATCATTGGTCAAAAGATTTTATCAAACACACTTGAGGCTATCATCAAACATTTGGTTGATTACAAATGACTAGAGGACTGCAATCCATATGAATTCATAAGAAACAAACGAAAACCGTAGAAAGCAATCTGAATTGTTTAATTAAAAATAAAAAATCTACTGTGTATTTAAATCTTTGAATTAGTGACTGAATCTGGATGTATATTTTTCATTGAATCGAGTTAAATGATCAATCCCTTGATGTTCACAGATCATGCCTAAGACCTCCACAGGGAGGTCCGTATTCACAAGCCTGCAGTTATAAGTTAAGTTATAAATGTATATACAAGTTATAAGTAATTGGTACAGATATGCATGCCATCCTAATGTTTATCACTATGCTGTTTTCTAAATTTATTTTATCAAGTGTGTGAACTAAATGCTCCTTTGAGTTTAGAGGTCTATACAACCATGAGGTCAGCGTTTGTGGATTGGTGGGGGCAGAGATGGTCTAGAGCTGGTAGATCTCTGTGGAATCTGCTCATAAATAGAGCTGGAGGACTCCAGATGTGGCTGCTCTGAATGATGGAAACCAGAGTACTGGGTCTGAGCCATTAGTGGGGACACACCAAAACTCTGAGGGAAAAATTACAAATTTGATCATTTTTATAATAGACAACACTATATACTATACAGAATATTGCACATTACTTTACCTGCCCAGTGATCTCTGGTCGCAAAAGATCATGAGGAGATCTTGGGGGTGGTCTAAGAGGAAGACTAGGCCCGGGTCTTGGTACAGCACCGCCGCCTTGGGCGCCCTTAATGTTCACCTCTGAATACAGATGATTATTTGGAAGGTTCACTGAGGAAAGGATCAAAACAGCAAACAATGTACCAAATAAGTATGTTTTATACATCTTTATATGCTTATATACTGTATATTATTTCACTGACTCTATTAAGTATGTGGTTCTTTTGTAACCAATTCAAATCATTCTTTAAGTATGAACTACGTAACAGGAAATGATTAAAATTAGCAAGTCTTGAGTGAGTTTTGATGCCTGTTTTTCTCATTCTTACCTACATCTCCTTCCACCTGCCTCCTCCACCCCATGGCGTAGCAGTCAATCTCCTCAGGACGGCTGCGTATGTGTGGGGTTTCCTCATAGGTGTGCATGGGCTCCAGTTGCCAGTACTTATTGTCTGCTGCTGTTGTGTCAAAGCTTGGGATGGATGAAGAGGTAAAAGCAGCTGTTGCTCCCTGTTGGTCTGGGTGAGGGTGGGCACTGAAGTTGGGGGTATTTTCTGATAGGCCTACTGCTCTAGGGGGTTTGTTAACTCGGGCATATGGTGCATCCACAGGAGGAGCTTGATCATCTGAGGGTCTTTCAGCAAGCTCAGAACTGCCATTCTAGCAGAGGGCAAATAAATAGTGTGATCTGTCAGTGTATAATATAACAACTTTCCCATTAAACACTTTTAAAAGTTACAAATGGAAAAAGTCATAGGCACAACCCACCATTAAACTCTTCCTTTTGTTAGTCAAGCTTTGTGTAACATCACACAGAGACAACTGTAATAATGAGAAGATGGCACAGGACAATAGAAACTTTGTCCAACAGCTATTGTTAACTAGAAAACGTGAGAAGGAAACTTCTGCAGCATTTTAAAGCTTCAGATTTTTTGCTTTGATTTTCTTGCAGTTTTATAGCAAAATATGTTTTGTAAAATATATATTTTGTATAAAATATTTATAATTATATTTTTACTTGGTACATTTTCATAAACTCAAGCTTCTATAACTTTTTTTCTATTTCACTTTCATCATTTATTTCACTTCTACAATAATCTATCAAATGTCTTCTTTAAAACAAAACCAAATATATATAGGAATATATTCCAAAGCATTCTTGAGTTACAAGTTTGGATAGTGCATTTTCATGTCTATGCAAAAAAAAAGGAGTGACAAGATAAGAATCGATAAGAATAATTAATTCGTTCGTAATTCAGACTAATACACAGTTGGGTGTTTGTTTACTCCAGACATTTTCTTGCCTTTATTTCACCATACATTCACAGTCGTGTTATAGTATTACATATATAAATATGGTTCAAATTAAGGTAGCAATTTTTTTTATCCAGCTCTATTTGCCAGGCAAAACTCACCACCTTGATGTTTGGGTTTGATGTTTATGTTCTTTATGGTTGCCTGGGCGTTTCTATGTGGTTGATAAGGTAAGCACTAAGGAGCAATTTGTAGTTTGTTGTTATGTTGTCTCTATGGTGTTTTGGGTGGTTGCTAGGGTGTAACTAGGCGGTGTGTAAGGTGATTGGCCTATTAGCCCAAACAGGTTGCTTAATTGACAAATGAGCCCAATTTTATGATGATAATCATATCCCCAGATATAAGTTTAGTAAGTCTGTTGGCTTTTTAAAATTATTATTATTATTATTTTTACTTTTGTATCATTCTGCAGAGTTTAATCTAAGAAATGTGAAAGAAAAAAGTCTGATATTTTGCTTTCATTGTCAGTAATTACTCACTTCTAAGCTAGGAGGCGCTGTGTTAGGTCCACAGTTGCACTCTGGCAACGAGTAGCTCTTTTTAAGTGGCTTTCTCACTGCTGCATACTGCACAGACTCTCCTGTAGCAGAAGTGATCTGATTGCAGGGGTTTGTGGGTAGTGGAATCAGAACAGCTGGACCGATGGCCATGGGCAGTTTTGTCAGCTCCTCTTGATCTGTTTCTTTTCCATTTCTCTCTGCTTCCCTGTCCTTCACCTTCCACCTATTCATGTCCTTAAAGCCACCACTAGTCTAGATAGCAAAAAAGACAGTATATGAAGTGAGATTACAGAGGAAATTCAAATGAATTACCCCCTCTCTGTATTAAATCATAAAAGGGTGTGTACCTCCGTACAAGGCACAGTCAACAACTCATTAAAGGGTCCCACATGATTATGGGTGTAGTAGCTGATTAGGTTGTCCAGGCTTCTATGACGGCTGTTTTCTCCAGCAATTAGAAATACACTACCAGATGCTCCACTCTCCTCCTCTTCAATGATAAAATGACGACATCTGTCCTCTCCTCTGGAAATTTAATTAATTTGTTAGTGAGTCACTGAGATTAGATATGTTGCAAATACTCCGTACAGTAACAATGACACCAAAATGTATTTCACGAGTTCACACTTAATTAGAAGGAGGAGTAAAGTTTAATGCGTATTGGCATGCTGTCCGGGGGAGGGCTCCGAGCTCGGAGTTCGGCCCGAACCCAGAGTACCGACAAAAGGCGATTCAACATGTTTAATCAGAGAAAACAAGCGCTGACCAACGCCAACAGAGATCCGACAAAACACAACAAAGTGTTTGTTGATCGGCGTCTGTCTACAGTGTGAATTGGCCTTAAAGGGATAGTTCACCCAAAAATGAAAATTAAGTCATTAATTACTCACCCTCATGTAGTTCCAACCCCGTAAGACCTTCGTTCATCTTCGGAACACAAATGAAGTTATTTTTGATTAAATTTGAGAGCTGGATCACTGGCTTCCTAGTGAAACTTTTCATTTTTGGGTGAACTATCCCTTTAAATGTCATTGCATTAGATAACAAAATGTCTTAGTAGTGTTTTTAAAATGAACGACTTCATGCAAGAAATTTAATTTTACAGATTTTCTAGTTTTTTAAAAGATAAAATGATAAAGTTTTGAAAAAAGTAGCCTATTGCCATTCCAAAAATTACTCAGAAAAGGGAAGTGTGAGCAGATGACACTTGAGATGCTGTACACAACAATTGACATTTTGTTCTGCAGCTTACATTAGCACCTCGGAGAAGGCCAGAGAACTGTCTTTAGGAGTCGTTTGAATCATTGACTCAACTGATTCATTCATTCACTGATTTCTTGCAGGAACAAAACAATGGTGCTTATCAAACGGAAGGCTTTGTCCGAATAAGGCTGCATATCTCGACTGCCGTCATCTAAATTTAGAGGATCCTTGGAAGGCAGCCTTTGTTTCGCATTCTTCATTTAAGCTAAATTTAAAGGATGCAGCAAGTGTATCCTTCATACCCACAATCCTTTGCACACATTCCAATTTACAAAAAAGACATGACGGAAAATGAGTCGGCACTGAGCTTGTCTGAGTTCATTTTGCAGGCGGCAGTGGCTCAGTGGTTCATGTAGGTTGTCTATAAAACTAAAGGTTGGTGGTTCAATCCCCGGTTCCTGACCAAGTGTCGAGGTGTCCATGAGCAAGACACCTAACCCCAGCTGCTCCCGACGAGCTGGATGGTGCCTTGCATGGCTGACACCACCGTCGGTGTATGAATGGGTGAATGTGAGGCAATATGTGAAGTGCTTTGGTGGCCATTGAGTCTGTGAAAGCGCTATATAAATGCAGTCCATTTACCATTATGAAATGTAAGACAAAAATAATGTTTTCGGAGATAAAGGCATACGTGTTATTTTTTGTATTGGTGTAAATTAATCACTTAACATTAAACTGCCAATATTATAAGCCACTGGGAGACCACATATAGTTGTCATTCACTGTACTGCATTTATAGAAAGCCAGATAATATATAAGATTCTTAATATAAAGTAGCATAGTTTTCCAGAATTAAGTTTTAATAATGTTTTCATGCCGTGGGGGCTGGCTAGCCATGCACACTTACTAGACTGTCTCATCCTAGCGTTTAATGCTGAGAAAGACTGTAGTCTACATGCCTCTGAATGACTGGACTAGGAAGGACACAGCCTCACTAGGATGTCAATTTGCACAACCAATTTATTCCAACACTGATTCATACAGGACCAAAATAAGTATTTTATCAAATTTGATTACCGGTAGTGAGTCACTAAATGTACTCAATTCGTTCAACAATGCTGATTTATTAAGGAACAAACCACCACTATGTGTGTTTCACAATGGTTGATGCTGTTTTTTGCTTTGTTTAGAACCATTTTAATTAGCAGAGCAAAAATAGACAATGTAAATTCAATGTCCAAAATGTAAGTTACTCAATATTTACTATATGTTTATTTAACTACTTTTAAATCCACATTATTAAGGCCCAATCACACAAAGAAGAACATTTATAACTATAAAGTTTTGATAATTGTTCTAATAGGGAATGTGGTATGTTATGTAATATAGTTATTGATTTAGTTATCTTTATAGTTACTATTTTTAGTGTGAACAGGCCTTGAGAATGACATTTTAAGAATGGGTTTCAGTGTCCAAAATACGTATCAGGCAACCAACCGTATGAAAGTAGGCCTACCTGTAAGACAGCACAAAGCCTATCTTTGACTCGCTGAGTCTCAACAGGAAACAGCCTTGTGGCTTATCCTCCAGCAGCTGCTCCGCTTCCCTGAGAGAGTGAGAATGACAGGTTGTGTGAAAATCTAAACCCAAAAGTATGTGCTTGACACTGTTTCGCACCTGTACGCGTGCAACTTTGCTTGTGCACCTGTTTTTTTCTGTAATGTTTTTGACAGAATATTTTGATGTGTGTGTAGTAACCTGCGTGTAGCGAAACCATGGAGCCAGCAGGGGAGAGGCTGTCCGGGTGTGTGCAGTCGAGGCAGCTGCGTCCTTTCAAACCACAGCAGAGTGTGAGCTCGCAGAGACGAAGTCAGGGCCTCCAGGGGCCCCACGGGACCCAAAACCAGAGCAGGATCTATTCGCTTCACTGTCGGCTTTAACAGAGAGAATCCAAGTATGATGTCATTTAGATCATTTAAATGTCAAAGCATTTCACATGTACCTAGGCTCAAAAAGCTATATATAGAACCCTGGGTTCTTGACTCAAAAAGGTTATACAATGTCAAAAATGATTGCATAATACTTTTACGTTTAACAGATTATTTCAATTTACTCTAGTGATAAAGTGGGTTTACGAGCTGTTTAATTCATAAAATGTAACCAAATGAATTAAAACAAAATTATCTAATTAAAAATAAATCCATAAAATCACCACATGATGGGAACCCCTAAAGGTTCTATATATGAAGATCCTGACAGAACCTTTTAAGGTTCAATATAGAACCAATATAGAATATATGCAAATAATATTTACAGGGCATATGGCTCTGTGATTAAAGCAAACATTCATGTCGACTGCACACGATAGACGTTAAACATCACATGAAATCTAACCAGTTATTTTTCATCAATTATTTGAGACTACTTAAAATATTGTATATTGTAAAAATATTGGCCTAAAAGTTAAAAGCGTCGGTTTTGACCTCGTTGTTGCTGTACTGACCAATTTATTATTTCTTTGCTTCAAAAGACTCTTCAGAGATAATGTAGAGCAGCAGAACCGCTGACAGAAGTCATCTTGTTTTGAGGAAATTGTAGCGTATGTATATATTATATCTTTGAGGGCATTGGAAGGTTTTTGCAAACCTCAAATGTTTTTTCAAATGCATCTATATACAATATATATATACATATATACATATATATATATATATGCATTTAAATATGAGATGTTGAAGTGTTGTATTTAAAATCATTAAGAAAATGTATACTATATTAATATATAAATGAGAGGTACTATATTACAGGCTGCGGGTATTTAAGTATGTTAAGCATTATTTCAATTCAATATTGTGGCTTTTTAAAGGTATTTCATGGAACAGGGCGTTTCAAACTTTTTAAGTCATGTCTACATATCAATCACTTGACATTCACCTCATTTTCCTTCTGCTGGCCCTGGTGTAATTGCTCGACCTCTTGTTGTGCTGCGGGACGACACTTTATGCTCCGCCGGGGTTTTACTGGAGGTTTCTTGGTTGTGGGATTGTTCTCTGGAGCTACAGATGGACGGGGCTTTGGTATTGGGTGATGGACAGAAAAAGCGCTCAGTCGCTCTTCTCTCTGCTGAGATTCAGCATCTGTACAGCAATAAATGTAGGCTACTCATTCTCACACAAAATAAGGGCAGTTTGATCATTAAAGCAGACAGTATTTAAAAACAGTAAATAAAAAGATGGACATGAAACAAATTGAATAGGTTAAAATTATTATCTTAATAAAGCCTTCAGCCTGCTGCCTGCTGATTTGAATTTCCTTTCAAATCAATTTATCAGATTTTTTATGTTAACTTGTAGATATTAGTATCTAAATAACAGATGTCAGTGTGTGAGCTTAAGAAGTTGAGATGTAGTTAGAATCACACTTGTACAGTCAGGCTCAAAATAAGCCTTCAAACGGAAATGTCACTTTCTTTACAAGCACGTCACCAACATGCATATCTGTAGAACTTTTAGACATCAAACAAATCAACAAAATATTACAGGCTCCGTAACACTAATGCTGTTGAAAGATTGTGACAGTCAGAATCAGTTGATGTGTCTGAGAATTAGTCTAGGATATTGAGGAGTAGGTTATTATGTAGATTTGTGTTGATGTTTTGTACAGGAAAATGTCTAGGACAATTCTGCTTTTTTGTCTCAATTCTATATTAATGCTAGATTGCCTATAAACTACATTAACACGTTAAAATAAAATAAGCACAGCCTGAGCACCACATAGCTTCATTCTAATCGTAAACCTATATGTTAGTTAGTAATAACAATAAATTATGGATAATTACATGCAACTAACCCTAAACCAAACCAAACCCTAATCCTAGCCCTATAGTAAGTATGTAGTTACTTAATTAATAATATTCAGTACTTAAATGTATAATTACACTGTAACAAAGACACCTTAAAATAAAGTGTAATCAAAAGAATGTTTAACTTCACAAAATGATCAAATGCAAATGTATTACCTTGACAAAATAACAGTTGTTTCTGGCATTCATATATATACATTTTGATGCTTTAAAAGAAAGCCTTTCCAGTTTTCAGTGTATCGTCAGAGAAAGCAAGTAAACACAACATCTCAAAACCATCAGGATTGTGTTTTGTTATTTCTATACTAAAACGGTCAATTTCTACCTGAAAGAATGAGTATGTAAGTTCAAAAGCTGGTGAGAAATAGCTGACCTTTAATTTTTTGGTAGTCAAAGTCCATGCTGAGGCGCAGGATGTAAAATGTTACAGTACCTCTTCCTATCAGATCTTGGGTGTTTCTGCCTCATCCTGTTTAAATGCATGTGTGTGACAGTGAGAAAGAAAGCGGCAAATAAAAGGTCATAAGCACATAACCAATAGTAAACTGCAACTGCTTGTGACTGCGTGCAGATTTCAATTTCAAACTCCTTGTGAAATATCCAGCTGATGTAATAAAGCTCAAATAAACAACCGGACCAAATTACATTGATTTTCAAAAAGCTGTCATGCATGCAATATGCCACAATTTATTTATTTTTTAATCATTTGAACTACCAGCACATAATTACCAAATTCTTCAGAACCAAACCAATTCTTTGAAAAGATATGTATTAATATAACTTAATATAATATCAAATTGATGTCTAAAAGTGGAGCTCCTCTTAAAACTAGTACTCATTTTACTGCAGTGTTATTGGGGTCCTGTAGATTTTTTAGGTTGATGAATGTCTGTCAATAAAACACTAACTCGTCTTGTTTAAAACTCTCTTCCATATTCAACACAAATTCTGTCAATCTGTATATATGTGCACGTTTATTTATGTTTTAGCACAGTGAGTGTGTTGTTAGGGTGAGAGAGAGAAGAGTCAGTTGAGGAGTCACGTGACGTCGTGACTTGCTCACCACACAGGATGAGAAAGAACGACCTCAATGAACAAGAGAGGTGAGGAAGATAAAGAAGACAAAAGAAATATAGCTACTAGAGTAGATGCACCCAAGCTTTTCTTTAAATTTGACAGAAAAGCCATGTGTATACATAATGAGTCATTATCGACCTTCTCTTTCTGTAGTTTTTTCTGTAGGCCTTTTTAATTTAAGCCTATATTATTTAGGTGAAAATTTGGTAACACTTTACAATAAGGTTCATTATTTAACATTAGTTAACTACCTTAGTTAACATGAACTAAGAATGAACAATACTTCTTTTTTATTAATCTTAGTTAACGTAATTTTTCTAAATTTACTAAGTTCAACTAAATTTCAACTAAGTTTACTAAAATCAAAGGTAGTATTTGTTAACATTAGCTAATGCACTGTGAACTAACATGAACAAACAATGAACAGTTGTATTTTTATTAACTAACATTAACAAAGATGAATAAATAGCCTACTGTAACAAATGTAGGCTATTGCTCATTGTTAGTTCATGTTAGTTAATACATGTTAACTAATGAACCTTATTGTAAAGTGTTACCGTGAAATCATATATTATTTAGTTTTTATTAATTCCGAAAATAATTTTCATTTAACAATATTTCTAAGTTTGTGTCTGTTATTTATTTTATGTTACAGTTACAGGATAGCTCCACTAGATGGCCCACTTACATTAACGTTGAGAATGAAATTCGGCACGAGACAGGAATGAAAATTGCCTGTCACTCTTTGCACTCGACAATAAACAATAACAATAAGTCATGCATACCAAATTATATAGCCTACAACGGATTTATTTTGTGCGATTGTCATGCGCATTATTCCATCTTTCAATGCGTTCCTTGCCATCTGATTCAAAACGTCTGTTTCAAAATCGCGTTGGTTAAATAAGATCAGATGTCCAGACTCCAGCCATAGCTTAGTCCACTCTAATTCTTGCCTAAAATATTACGATCACCTTAACTAATGTTCCGATAATTGTCTGACTTGTTTCAAATGAGTCCATTTTTGTTCTGCTGCAGAAAATGAATCATTCAGTCACATATCAACCGTGAATTCCAGATGTTTTATGGAGCTGCAGAGAGTTACCTATGATACATCCACCCCCTGTTCTTCATTTGAGGTGTGCTGTGGCAAGCTGTATTAACATTTAGTCTGGAAAACTAGTGTGTTGTAGGCTACTATTGATTGATTGATTGATTTAATATTAAGTAATTCAATGACAACTAACTAATATATTGTTGAATTTAGTAACTATTCAGCCATATTTTGTTTAGATGTGAATATTCCCATATTAAAAAATTAATTTTAGTAAGTGATAGTTTTCGATGTCATTTGTTACTATTCATTAGAAACTGATCCTTATTCATTTGCTAGTCACTCTCTCAGTGGTGACGGGTAACTATTTCATTGAAGTGAACATTTGTCTGTAAATTCTACGGGCATCTGTGGTTCAGATATCAACAATTCCCTTCCAACTATATTCCAATTTCTGATACACATTCCACTTTTACTAAATGCTATTAATTACTACAACTTGGTTACATGTTAGTCTTCATCTAGTTACGATAATTTATTCCAGCTTTACTTTTTTATTGAATACAGTAGCCTACTAGTATCTATTTATGGACCATTGTATCTTTCCCAGCTGCACTAACATTTCTTACGTAATTAAAGGGTAAATAACTACTACAATGAATAGTTATTAAATATAAATAACTGTAAGGTACAGTCAAAATACATAGTTGAATGTGATTGGTTGTTAACTTATGTATAGCTCTACCTGTCACATGTAGGCTAAGTTCAGTTTAGTTCAGTTTCTGTCTTGTCTGTATTAGTCACTATGCTTTCTAATTAGTTACGTCTTGTCAACTGTTCCGGTTTAGTGTCCATATTTGTGTATTTATACTCCCTGTTCTCTGTTCAGTCCTTGTCGGTTACGGTTATTTTTTGTGTGAACGTGGCCATGTACCCTCTGAGTCTTGAGTTTGTCATTTAATTAAAAGACTTTGTATCTATTACCATCTCCTTCGTCGTGCGCCTTTCTACAGCCACTAGACGCATTATAGCCTACTGTAGGCTCCTATTAGGCTCACTACTGGAATAAGTATTTGCTATAGTAGCCTATCAAATGGAAATCTAATGAACATGCAGTGATGTTAAAAATGGTCACTATTGCTTACTAGATATTCATTTAAGTCAGTAGGCTACTATAACAAATTAGTAACATAAAAACAGACGGTAGTGTAGAAGAATAGTGTTAAAATGGCTTGCCACATTTCGGGCACTGCACTAACATGGTCAACACGAGCGTTTCCTCATTTTAAGTACGAGCGCTTCTGCAGCGAGTGGAGCTCCAGAGGAATACCGTCCGTGAAACACACACGACACTGCTTCATGACGATCTATGCCAGGTACGTCACATAAATCAACCATTTCGTTTGGTTACAAGGGATTTCACATGAAATAGGCTATCCTATATGGAAGTAAGGAGATAAAGGGGTAAAAAAATTTTTTTAATTTGTATGCTACATGATGTGTCGCATTGCATGATAGAAGTTGTACTATAAGAAAATGGACATTAACGTTAATCGTTGCATTGTGGTCGTGACAGACTTTCGTGGGCTTCGTAAAGGTGCGGGTCTCAGAAACACTCGCAGTGGAATATCAAACACACACGACGTACAAGAATGAGACACGAACAAGTTTCCACACGCAGGTTTCGGTCGTGTTCAGCACAGAGATGACAGGAGACGTTCTCCTTTATAAATTATCGTTTCATTCCGTGTGGAATTTTCTGTCATCGTCAGACTAGAGCAAACGGACATTTGGAACATTCACTTCTCATTCACATTCACTTTCAAAATTGATCAAGACCTGTGTAAAAACCATAGTGAGTTTCAAAACTTTGTAGGTGACTGTCACTGACTTTATTATGTTGTTTAAAATGAAATAGTCAAGTAGCCAAACACAGATTGTTAAACAACTAGTTTAACAACAAGTGGTTGACTAGTGGTTATCACCTGGATCTTACTACTTGTCTGGCTAGAAAACCTCCCAGGCCCTGAGGGTAAACAACCTGATCTTCTTTCTGGAAGTTATAGGGTTTAAAAAAAATGCATATTTGTTTTGACCATATTTGGTTTACAGCACATTGATTTAGGCAAACGCTCAATTAAAAGTAGGCCTTTCTGGTTAGGTTACATGTGTAATTTTGTCCTTGCCCTGTAAAACATGATGTCAGTCAGGTAACCTAAAATCTAAATTAACATGGTTTTATTTGCTGTGGGGGGTTTCCTGTAAGCCTGTGTGGTAATACCTTCTAATTGAAAGTTACCTTTAATTTCGTTTGGTTATCTACATTCTTAGAATTTTCTCTTTCCCCATTATTTATTTGTTTTTGTTTTTCCCTTGCTTTTTTTCCTCATTTATTGTTTTAGGGAAGAAGCTGAAGGTCTGAGACTTTGATCCTAATCAAGAATGAGATCATTATTTTGGGTGTTTTATGGCGGGGGATCTGATCCTAGATTCAGCAGGCAGGTTTCAGGTCTTGGAATTGCTCTTCAAGCTCTTTCTTTCATCTTGTATTGAACATAATGAAAGCATGCTCATACTCAAATTTCAGGATTCACACACTTGAACCCGCAGGCTGTCAGTCACACATCTGAGTTTGCTAAATAAAGGAGCTAACGTAAGGTGAGGGAAGATAAGCTGTATCCATTCATAGTGTATGTACTTTTTAAACTAAAAAGTTGCAAAATGCACTAATGATGCAAACATTGCATTCAAGCGCAAGCTGGAACTAATGGGCTCTATGCACGGCGGTATTTCCGGTGAAGGTCTAAGGATGCTGGATTACTTCCGCCGATCGTAGAGTCCATGCTATACCGAGAATTTATATTGGTTTTTATACTCTATTGCTTGCTATACTAAAGAAACGTTAGTCACAAAAACAGACACCCCTCATTTTGTTTATGCTTCTGTGTTTATTATATTAAATAAACATAACTACCGTAAAACTTCAAATAGTAGCCCGGGCTTTTATTTACCCAAATCGTCGAACTGCACCGGCTTGTATTTGAGACAGGCGTCTATATGAGACAGGCCTTTATAATTTAGTGTTGAGATGTCGTTCATTGAGTGTATAGGCCTGTCTCTAATCTCTAAAAATCTCCAAATGCTCCACGTGAAACTGCGGTCTTCCGACCTTTTACTATCGCGTCAATTGATTTTGATTAATATGCGCGAGGGAGAGAGAGCAAGACAGCGCTCGTTGTTTGAAGCCGGGAGAGTGCGCGCGCGCGGCCGGAGCGCTCTCTCTCTCTCTCTCTGCTCGTAACGCGCCCTGTCAAGCGCAGCAGTCATTCTATTCTACATCACTCATC